ATAAGCTGACAGTTATTTAAAACTTACTGCATATTAAAATAGTGTATTATTATTTTTAAATGAATAAAAACCAAAATCGAAATATGTTTTTTGAGATTTACTAAGGTAAAAAAATCACAACAAATATTGAGAACTACACATAGTGTATTATTATTTTTAAATTGCATGCCTTTAAATATTAACATATAGTTTTTAATAAAGGCAGATAAACATATTAAGCCAAACAATAAATTTTTTGATAGCTATGTTAAGAGACATATTCTTGTTGATTTTAACTTCTAATATATCACTTCTGACATGGCACAGACCTGAAATAGAAAACCAGCAGTGACCTAGAGAGAAAATTGCGTGTTCGTACACTATTGTTCGTGTATATTCAACAAGACGCCTACATTCTCCCCATTCAGCTGCCTGCTAAATAGAAAGTCTTAGATTCCTCTGTTTTGCACTGTATTGTGTTTGATTCCATTGTGTGTCAGGGCATTGACGTGAGTGACAAAGACATGACAAGACAAGAGGACAGATGGAATTAAATTTCTGCACAATTTCCCTCATTTATAGAAAATACAGGGACTGAAGGTGATGGAAAATGTAAGAGAAAAAGACGAAGAGATTGGGTGAAAAAGGAGCTAATAAAAAAAAGCTATAGTGGTGGCTTCATTTTGTCAAACCAGTTCAAACATTACTGAAATGTTTAAAAAACCTTCCTGATAAGTGTGTACATATCACTTGTGAAAATATTCTTCAAAAGCCTGTTCATAATGATGAGAGCCCTCTTGTTTGGACAAAAGAGGTGCCTTAAAAACCTGAGTTCTAAACAACCAGCAGCAAATAACAGCAATTTCACAGCTAATTTGTGGATTTCATGAGTGGATGCCTTCATCACCTCCCGCAATTTAATGCAGAGAATAGAGACATGTGACATTATGGCTACAAGATCAAACTATAAGATTCTTCTATTAGATAATATCCATAATCCAGTCATTTCTAAAGCTAAGGTAGCTGAGAGTCATCTCCATCACACACTCCAAGCACTAACATCTTTGTATGCAAGTGAGGTGAATTTCTTCAAGGGATGCTGCTTTCTTTTTTTTAAGTTGCCCTCTTTTTCACACCATAAAACAGATTCAGTGTTTTACAATGTGATGCTCCATTTAGTGTACGTTTATTGTACACTTTTATTTTCTTAAATGTTAAAACTCCCATGATTCTTGTTGTTTAGCTAATTTTGACCTTATTATGTGCTCAGGCAGATTTTAAAGGAGTGATAATTCAAATAAAAAAACTGATAATTAGTTCAAAGCATGACTGCATTGCTTGTTATAACCATGCTACACTGAGCTTGGTAACTTGAAAGCTGCAGGTTTATTTTAAGTTTGTCAGGAATCTTAAAAAAAAATCATATGGTCCACAATAGATAAAAAAATTCTGTCTTTCCTGAAAAACTTGAAAAAATGACCAGGGCAATTATTTAAAGAAAATATATTTTTCATTTGCATAGCTCGCAACTATAAGTTAGATCAGTGGTTCCCAAAGTTTTTATCTTCTGACCCACTAAATATCCATGGCAAAAACTTGTGACCCCAAATATTACTGGTCTGAGTACACAAACTTTGTTAATAACCCTAAAAACACAGGCTTTTTGATAATCTAAACAGCTTGTACACAAATATAAATACTTATTTATACTTATTTTG